TAATTCATAGAGCAATATTAATATTTAAAATTCTTTTGGAAAAGGGTTTTAAAGAAGCTGGCCTGGGAGGACTGGTTTTTCATGCATTTGTGCAAGCTAAAAAAGGAATCAAAGCATTTTAATTGATAGTTTTCACTAAAGCCAACCGGCCCCTCCTTTTCACTAGTTAGTACAAGGCAGCGAAGAGTTCTCGGGACAAGCCTTCTTTTATCGTTAATGCCCTTTGAAAGATGGCCGATTGTGTTTGAGGATCCTGTGTCCTTTAAGGGAAGACTGGGCCCTTTATCTGGTGATCATCGCTTCTGGGCTGTGTGCGCTGTATCCAGGGCTCACTGACTCAATGTCCTTTCTGGTTTGCTGTTTCCCAAGAGCCCTTGTCAGGGCTGAACGATCTGGCCTTTGGCTTTTGTGATCTGACTTCACTGAAAATGATGACAGTTTACAGGATACTTATGAGAAATGGTGTAGGGAAGAATAACTCTCAGTGGGTCTTAGTTGGAACCAACCATCGTAATGAAAGATTAAGAAGAAATAAAATTATTGACATATTTCATGTACACATGGGGTAGGGAGTGAGGGAGCTTGGATTCCAGCTTGTCGAGCATATTCAGCAGAGAAGGGTCGATTTTTAAAGTGACAAGACAGACATAAATCCCCGGGTCTCAAGGGTGGCACCTCAAGAACAGCACATAAGTGACAGGCGGAGGCTAGTTATTAAAGCGTGTTCTTGTAGCGACTTGTGTTTACCATCCTCAGTAAGGTGCAAGAGTCTTCAGTGGCCGGTGCTCTTCTCTCTGGTTGAATAAGGAGATGCTTTCTGTCTTATAACTCTGTGACCTGCTTTTAAGCTCCAAATAAGGGAGGCTGAGATTGTTCATGATTCTGCTGCGCCCTAACTGTCCTCAGCTCAGTGTCCCTTACATGTATGGACCAGGCTTTCTGGCTCCCTAATTTGCTTAATGGCCTTCAGAGCTTCTTAATGTGTGAAGTATGAAGCTGCTGGGTCTCGTGGTCCCCTTCCTGCCTTAACTTCCACCTCACATTTCTCTGAGTGGGCAGCTGCCTCCTTTTCCTCGGTACCTACTACACGGTTTTGAACGTCTTTGCCCTGTCCCTCCCCTCTCTCTTCTGGACCTGACACACTCTATCTTCTTTGCTAAGAGGTCTTAGAGCCGGGACAGGATGGGGCTCCATGTAGTGTGAGTCTCTACATTTGAGCTGCAGTTTCTTTACTGTGTCGTCTCAGACTGTAGACTCCAGGAGACAGCCCTCTCTTGGGTGCTTCTCTCCATCTTCAGGGTGTCTTAGCCAGTGGTGAATGTCCAGTGCATACCTAGTGAGCCGAACTGCAGCCGCACATATGCTATGATGGTTCATCTTGACGACCTGGTGATTGGATTGAGATATACCTACCGTATTAGTCTGTGTGTATCCGTAAGGGCAATTCCAGAGACAAAAGAGGGAAGACCAGCTCTGATTGTGGGCAACCCATTCCAAAAGGCTGGAGCCCATCCATGGCCTCCCCGCCTTCATAGGTGCTCTCCCTCTGCTGCCTGGCTCTCATGATGTCATGTGCTTAGCTTTGCCACACCCTCCCTGCTGTGATGAACTATAGCCTCGAGACCATAAGTAACAGTAAATATTAGCTCCCCCGCCCCTTTTTAAAAAAAGATTTATTTATTAAGTATACAGTGTTCTGCCTGCACGCCAGAAGAGGCCACCAGATCTCATTACAGATGGTTGTGAGCCACCATGTGATTGCTGGGAATTGAACTCAGGACCTCTGGAAGAGCAGCCAGTGTTCTTAACCTCTGAGCCATGTCTCCATCCCAAATCTTAGCTCCTTTCACCGCTTCTCTTGTGTGTTTCTCCTAGCCACAAAAGTGTTGACAAGTATGAGATTCAAAATTCTTGTGGAGTTTTTTGTTAACAAGAACTAATACGATGCCAAACTTCTGAGAAAGCCCGTTTTGAATAGAGAAGAAGCAGGTATATGAAGAGCCTTCTCTCCAGAGTTGGGCTTGAGTTTTAATTTATGTAGAAGTTGAACAACTTGGAGCTCTTGAGTACTGGCCTTGTGGTTTTTCCATTTGTGCCTTTTTATTGGCGAATCCCTGTGTGGCTAACACAGGTCTGGCATGTTTACCTCTGTTCATTCCTAGGTCACCTCCAGCCCCTTGAGTTTTTCTCCCTTTTACTGTTTTCTTGTCTACTTATCTATCTCCTTCCTTAGATTAGTCTTTTTAGAACGAGATTAGTGTCCAAGCAGTACACACATTTTAGAAAGACTGGAAGCCGGGTGAGCATGGTCGCACACGCCTTTAATCCCAGTACTTGGGAGGCAGAGGCAGGAAGATCTCTGAGTTCAAGGCCAGCCTGGTCTACAGAGTTGAGTTCTAGGACAGCCAGGAATGCACAATGAAACCCTGTCTCAAAAAACAACAACAATAACCAAAGAGAGAGAGAGAGAGAGAGAGAGAGAGAGAGAGAGAGAGAGAGAGAGAGAGAGAGAGAGAGAGAGAAAAGAGAGAGAGAGAGAAAGAAAAGAGAGAGAGCCCTGGGGAATTCTGGGAAGATGGAGTGCAGAGAAGGTGCTTCCCTTACTTATGTAACTCGGGTTGGATGACTTGTCCTCAGGCCTCTCAGTGCTCTTATGTTGCTCATCATTTCCTTGACTCTTACTTATTCAGACAGATTTTTGCCTCATAGGGAAAACTATCCAGAGAAAGGAGAAACTCCATTTAATTTTAAGTGGAAAGCAGAAGAGTATTGGCAGTTACAGCAGCTGTCTGTGAAGTTACCAGGCCAAATGTCTATGACTCAGGTTTTGGACGAAATAAAACAGTCAAGCCTTCTGTTTAGACTTAACTGTTTAGTTCTCTGCTTATCTTAAAGTGGCCCAGATAGCTTTGGCAATGGGGTCAGAGTGAGAAGCAAAATTAAAATGCATGTTCTAAATTTTTCTTTTCCTTCAGACTTAGTTTCTTCTTTTCCTAATTTGGTTTTATGTGATACAACGTTTTCCTTTTGAAGTATGTTCAATTTTTTTATTGTAGCATAAATACAATAATAAGATATTTAATTCTGAGAAGTTTTCTGGTGAGGAGGGCTTGGTGCAGTCTATTAGCAAGGCAAGTTGTGAAATTGCCTTTCTATGAGAGAAGTGTCAAAATCACACCCTGGCTTAACCTGTCCTGGAGGAGAAGGACAGGAAATGGAATGTAGGAGGACCAAGTCTGGCAGGATTCAGGACCCTCTGCATTGTGTTACTGCGCTTGGGAGTTCTGTCCCGAGGATATGCGTGTTTACCACTGTCCTGTGGGCGGAGGATGTCAGATTTGCACAACAAGTTCGTTTATTTTGAGAGTTGAAGCAACTGGCTGAGCATCAGTAGTTATATGATGTTACTGTGTAACTCTGCTCTCTGCATGGCCCCGGTCAGGCTCTTTATAGTGAGGCTGCTTCCTGGCTACACCGGAGATACAGTGAAAATGCCCAGGTTTAGATGCACAGTGGGCAGGCCGAGCACCAAGTAGGCCTTACAAGTCCAAGTCTACGTTGGAAGGAGACTGAGAACCTTTATAGGGCTCTAATGTGCAAATAGAAAATAATATACTGCTTTCATTTCATTAAGAGATGTGCCTGTGTATGTCATGTATGTTCCCACAAAAGTCCTTGATGTGTGTGTGTGTGTGTGTGTGTGTGGCATATAGGGTGATGTGTGTACATCATGTATGTGCCATGTATGTTCCTGAAAAGGCCCTTGAATAAGGGTTCATTTCTGAATTATAATTAAGACCCTGAGGGAATTGTCAAAGATATCTTGAGGTCAGTATGTTAACAGAACAGTAACACTTTTATAACTGCTTTGGATAATTACAGATTTTATAAATAAATATTACCTAAAATTATCTTCAAGTCACATTTTTCTGTACAGGAAAAGATATTTTAATACTTCCTTTTATGTGGTGTGATCTGCAATACCAGTGCTATTCCATGGGAATTAGGAGATCAAACTAGAGCTCCAGTTTGTAAAGATGGAGAGTCGGCCAGGGTGTTCCTGGATCCTTTGCCACCTCCTTTAGTTCTAAAGTCACAGGCTCCGGGCAGGTTGGGGAGTAGAGGAAGCCATTACAGGCTGAATGCCAAGTTCATGCTCGAGTTATTTAGATTCTCTGCCACAAAATTTACGCTGTGAAAACAATTTGCATAGAGGCCCCCTAACCTATGATTTATTTATTTATTTATTTATTTATTTATTTATTTATTTATTTAGTTAGTTAGTTAGTTAGTTAGTTAGTTAGTTATTTAAAGTAGAGGCTGAGAGAAGGCTGTAGACACAGCACACAGAGTTCTGTATACGGTCCTCCAGCTTATGGTTTTTACACAGTGCCCCTTGACTGGTTACGTGTTGGGCCTGCAGTTCTCAACCTGCAGGGTCACAGATCAGATATCCTGCGTGTCACATATTTACATTACAGCTCATAACAGTAGCAAAATTACAGTTATGAAGTAGGAAGGAAAATAATTTTATGGCCAAGGGTCAATCACAACATGAGGAAATATATTAAAGGGTCGCAGCCTTAGGAAGGGTGAGAACCACTGTGTTTGTATGAAGAGCAAGTGGAGGTAAAAACACAAGTCTGTTAAGGCAGTACCAGAGTGTCAGGGATCATGAATAAAGTTAGGATATGATTTTCATTTAAAACTGGTAAGCCCATATAGTAAGTAGTTCATGATGATATTTAGTCTGAGGTGTTGAAAAGTTAGTAGTTCTGGTCATCTTTATGAATTGTTACTCTATTAGTTTTTTTTTTTTTTTTTTAGGTTTTACATTTAAATTAAATTTTCATTTAAATTAAGTAATGAGGGAATAAAAATGAAAAATAGGTGCACTGGTGAACACCACATGAAGCATGGTTCTGTGAATGGCCCTGCTTGGTTAGGAATGGGAAGGTTGGTTCTGAGCTCCAGGACTAAAGTGCTGTTTTCCTCTGTAGGTTCGGAAACATGTGAATGATCTCTACGAAGACTTGAGGGACGGGCACAATTTGATCTCCCTTCTGGAGGTCCTGTCTGGAGACACCTTGGTAAGTTAGAGGCTTCCTGATTTATTTTGCTGAGCCTGCGATTCTGTAGACACGTGACCAGGGCGTTGGCAGCATAGATGTTAGGTTTTTGTAGCATTTTTTTTCTTCTTCAAATTATGAACTTCAGCCAGAAGGAAAGAGGTCTGGCCAGAGGCTGCAGCATCCCATCTTCACGTGATGTGAATGTGGACCTGGAGATGTCTTTGCTTTTGTGATAGGTTCGATAATTAACATACTATTGGTCTTTGTGCTTCTTCTTTTTCTTTTAAATACCTTTGGGTTGTTTTTGGTTTTTTTTTTTTTTGTTTTGTTTTATTTTTGCTTTAAAAGAAGTCAGATGCACAATACAAGCACACCTGGAAAGCCTCGTACATAGCAAGGAGCCCGACTTCACGTTCTGAGAAGGGGCTAACCCAGGTGTCATCTCCCTCCTGTGTGACCGTTACTCCCTTTCTCGGTTATCCGTTCTCCCTCATTCCGTTCTGCTCATGCTCTTCTTTTCATTCCCGGTCTGTCTGTCTCCCTGCTGTCCTGTCTTCTGTCTGTTATATTCACTAGCCAAGGGAGCGAGACTTTTTGAAGACCTTACGGTTGGTGAGTGCAACAGCAGCATGCGAGTGTGCGCAGCATGAGGAGGTGGAGGATGAGGACAAGGGGGTAGGTGTCCCCGTAACTCACTAACCCGCCAGGGACCCAACCCTAGAGCAGGGCGGGCGTGTGTGAAGAAACTGGACAAAGGGAATATTTTGTCCTCTTTAAAGTTATCTTCAGAGCTGAAATGACTGACTTATTTAGATGTTAGGGTTTGTTTGTTTTTTTAAACACTGTTTATGAATTTAGAATCCTGATAACTAGTATACTAATTTTTATGCACATTCATTTCCTTCTGGAATTGATATTTCAAACATGATAACTTTGTGGGGGGTGGCATAGGGAGACTTTTATCCGTTTCCTTAAATCATACCTGTTCGTGGGATGCAGAGGGGCAAGATTTTAAGTCTTGTAACCCATATAATCACGGGGCCGTCTAACCGACACTTAGCTGACATGGGCCAGCTACTTTCACAGAGAGTGTAGAGCTGCTCTGGTCATCTGCATCCCACCCCTGATTTCCTTGGAAATTGTGCTTCTATAGTATCAAATTTGTGAATTTTCAGCATCATTTCTACCCTGATGCCAAAATTATTTTTCCTGTATATGGTCTGCTGTTTTTTGTCAAGACCTTGAATGTCAATGGCCTATATTTCGGAAGTGAAGGCAGACGTTGGCTTCTTCTTGCTGTTAGACTATTTCATGTGATAAATTTCAGCCCCATTCTTTGTATGTTCCTTAAGGGTTTTCCAGCTCTGTTCCTTTTTTCCCTCTGATAATGTGTACCATTTCCTAAGGAAAATGGCACTAAAAAAAAAAAAACAAAACAAAACACTATGATTTGACACTTTTTCTGGGATTGGGAAAACAAGTGCATCACATCCAGTGAACACAAAAGTACAGGTCTTTTCTGCCTGATATTAAGTCCACCTTTGTGTAAAAGCTGAAATAAATACAGAGGAAAAGTATTGCATAGTGTAAGTTGCTTTTTCCTCTCCTCAGTCACAGCTAAACAAACCTCTTGTCTTTCTCCTTGGTGGTTTTTTGTTTTTCATTTTTTTAATACTAATTTGCATGCTGTTTTACCTCATTTTCATAAATCCATAAATCCAATTAGAAAAACTGTCTTGTTGATAGTGTGTATTAAGAAGGTAAAATGGAGAGTTATTGCTTATTATTTTTATAGCTAAGCCCCAGTTGGCCAGGATTGTACTGTTAGTGAACACAGAAGGTCTCCTTGGTCTGTGGTTTTCCTTTTATTTAAATGAAGCATTTGGAATAAAGCACATGCTTAAAATATATTTTAAAAAAGTCCCTCAGTCTTGAAATTCAGACCAAGATGATAGAGAAGAGTCAAAAACTTCTTTTTTTTTTTTTTTAAAAAAAAAGGATGAGCCTATCAAAAATTAGTTTAGAAATGTTAAGATGAACAGATAAAATATTTAAATTAGCATGGTCAGAGGTATTGTAAACTGTAGTATTTTTACGCCTTCAATTTTCTATCCTTAGCCCAGAGAGAAGGGTCGGATGCGCTTTCACAGACTGCAGAATGTACAGATTGCACTGGATTATTTGAAAAGACGCCAGGTATGATGTTTTCTAGACTCTAGCCTCGTGAACATAAGAGATCAAATAAATCTACATAAGACTATGTCAGGGGATGCAAAAGTTTAATTGGGCCTGAACTATGGTAAACATCTTGCCCATTGCTGAAGCAGATGTTTAATGGTGTTTTCAAACATCTGTTCCTAAGGAAAGGAAGTTAGTATTGAGTGTAAGCTCAGAAGAGTGAGGCATGCTTTATTTCCCCTTGAATAAGGAGGACCCATTCTCCCTGATGGCATTAGGATGCTTCTGCCTAGGTGGTCAGGGACATTTGAGCAGCAGCAGGATGTCAAGAATGCCTGTGAATGCGACAGTTCCAGGCAGGGGTGAGGCAACACTTGACTTTTTACACTGCATATGTTAGAATATTTTCATCGTTTGCACCCTACTTCTAGAAACAGTGCTAGTGGTGTTTCTACTTACTAGTGGTACAGCAATCTTCTATTCGTTGTAAGTAGAGAACCGGCTCGGCCTTCTTTGTGCTTCCATCATAGAGTAGCTGTGTAATTCATAAAGAACAGGATTCATCCCTTGTGCTTCTAGACTCTCTAAAGACTGGATATTGAAGGTCAAGACAATAACACTTGGCACTGGCAAGGGCGGCCTGTATTCCCACATGACAGAAGGGACAGAGGTGGAAAAGTATCTCCCTTGCTTCATCATTCTCTGTCAAATAAGGAAACAGTGTTCAACATGATGGCATGTCTTGGTATTTAGCTCTTTGTATAAGAAGCCAGTGTTGAGCTCATTACATGTATGTACCTGAATGTCCTGGTTGAACAGTTGATAAGCTTCGGTTCTGAGTGTGGTACTGCTCTTTGATGTTTGCTCAGCTTCTAGACGCTCAGCGATTTAAATACTTAATCTAGAAAGTAGTTTTTAAAAGTCCTCTGTCGTAGACATACAAACTGTTGAAGTTGTTGATGGCTCTGGTCTTTTTCTGCTTGATGGTAAGGGTGAAATAAGCTCATTTCCAAAGAAAGTGCCCCCTGATTTTAAGATCACAAAGTTTTACCCAGGCCCCATTGTTTGAATTGCATTTTTGCAGTTTTTGACAAGTGGGCACTTGTTCTAGAAAACCACAGCAATACCCAGTTTAGACTGGTTTGTTTTCTAGACCACCGAAGGGGAGGGTGAACAGTATTCGGTGATCTTTGCACTCTTTGCATGGTTTAGCATTTCCTTTGTAGGTAAAGAGAGCTCCTGCTGAGTGTATAATAAACTGTTTCTCTCTTCTTCATCTATAAAACAGGTGAAGTTAGTGAATATTAGAAACGATGACATAACAGATGGAAATCCTAAGCTGACTTTGGGATTAATATGGACAATAATTTTGCACTTTCAGGTAAGTCCAGCTTGTCTCCGGCGCTGTTTCTCCGTCTTGCGGCTGGTTCTCAGGTGGTTCTCGGGAAGGTGTTTTATGTCCTCTGAGTGGAAAGCAAATTTCGTAACAGCACTTCAGTTATTCTTCCTAGTAACATTGTGAGCCTGGCGTCTTGTTTCCTGGTCTCTAGGAGCTTCTGTATTTGCTTTTAAAGGTCTTCTCTTGTAATCTTAGATTTGAGAGATAGAGATCTCTTTTTCCTAAATGAACACTTGTTTCTTTTGCTCTTTGGGCAGTATTTCTTATTTTAGCTATGTAAAGATTTTATGACTCAAATCCTTACTTAAAATAATTTTATCCATATTGTAAATAAATTCAAATTTCCTCTAGTAGACACTAGATGGCAGTTGAAGTATTCCAGAAAGCCAGATTAGAAGAAAAGTATCATAGCAGCCATGCCTTATGTAGCTCTGAGGACAGTGATACATTTTGAAAGAAATCTGTAGCTGGATTCACAGTGACTCACTTTGTAACTTGCTTTAGTTCGTTAGCTGCTCATCTCACAAAATTTTTGTCAACCCTTGGTAATACTGTGCTTAAAGGATCTTAAAGAAAGAAAATAAACGGCTCACTAGCTTGAGAAAGGAAGTAGGATTTTAAATCTTGAAGGGGGAGGGGATAAAATTATTAAAGTAATAATGGAAAATAAAGGAGCTCCTTTGGGAATGGATCTGAGCCATATGAAAAGTTCTAGAGAGGAAGAATCCTTCTAGGAGGGAAGCCCCAGGGCCTTATAGGCAGCTGAACTGTCCCAGCAGTAGGGAATCGAGGCAGCCGGGCAAGTGGAGACAATGTTAACCAGCTTGCCTATAGGACTGCTAATGATGTCCAGTCACCTGGGTTGTGAAGTCAGGGTAACCCAGGAAATAACTCAGTGCAAGCCAAGACTCCAGAGCACTAAGGGTCGTCATTACCAGAAGACCCCACCCTGAAAAGAACTAAGAGTCCTCAGCACTAAACCAAGGCAAAGCTTTGCGTGTGGGACACAAGCCAGACCGTGTTACCAGAATTATAAAAAGTAGAAGTGACCCAAGAATTATTTTCATGGAGAGTGCCTTGGCTGTTATCTCCTAGAGCTCAGTGCATTAGGTCCAGGACTTTTAAAATTAGGGTTGTGACTGCGAGGACCCAGGTGGACAAGTCTGCGGCCCTGATGGAGGGGGCCAGCTACTTCATCACGTCGGCTTCATCAGGCAGGCTGTGTCTGAAGTCGAATAGCACACTAGTGGTCGCCGTGGGGCAGTCCAGAGGACTTCACAGGAGGGAAACAGAACTGCATTCTTGGCTTCTTGTATTCTTTCTTGTCATGGCCACTCTGACTGGGCTTGAGGGAAGAAATGTTTTAATAAATCAAACCTGATAGGTTAGCGGGATGGCACAGTGAGTGAAGGCTCTTGTTGACAGACCCGAAGGCTTGACGTTGATTCCTGGAGCCCACGTGGTGGAAGGAGAGAACTGACACGCGTCAGTGGTCCCCGATCTCCAGGTGCACGCTAGCATGTGCACCCCCTCTAAGAAAGAGAATCTGATGATGCTTTAAATCTCTAATTCTATGTAAAATAGATGGGAATGCACTAGGTGGTCATAGTGAGGGAGAAAAGCCAAGAAACAGAAGTGATTTCAGAGGGAGGGATATCGGCCAGGTGGCGGTGAAAAGTGTATCCAAGAGGTGACATTTTGAAAAAGGAAGAAAGACATTTGGCCACAGGGTATAGGAAATGGAGATGAGGGCTCAGGTTAAACTCTTTAAGACATCAGAAAACAAATTGTGAGATCTAGGGTTGGCAGTAGGGGGAAAATGGTTGACCTTCTGCATGGGTTTGAAGGGTAAGTGAGCTAGCCTGTGTGCCAGTCGGCTGAGCAGAGCAGACCTGGGAAGTCAAGGTACAGGGACTTATCGACACGAAAGTGGTTGTTGACTGTTGGAGAGAAAGGGTCCCCTGTGTGGAGAGCCCCTGATGACGGGCGGGAGCGGGTCTTGCTGAGGAAACGGAACAGGAATGACTATTCAGAGAGATGTGTGAAGCAACAGGAAATGAACTGGTGAAACCATGGAAGGGAACAAGAGGAGAAAAGGATAGTTGACAGTCTGAAGTGCCACCAGAGACTGTGGGGAAAACATTCCCCAGCTGCTTGCAGCAGAAACAAGAAAATAACAGATGGGAATGTGGGCCAGCAGGAATTAGAAGCAGCATGTATAGACTCTGTATTTGCGGGCACATAAAGCAAGGGGTCATTCATTTAAGAAGAATCACATGTCAAGGCAGCCATTGTGGTACCTGCTTGTATCTCAGCATCAGGGATTAGAGGCAGGAGGATCAAGGGTTTGAATATGGTTTTGTGGGTGAAATGTAAATGAAATAAAGCTTTTCTTAGTGCTGTGCTAATCGAAGATTTGAACACCCCTGGCTGTGCCCAGAGAGAAGAGTGGTGGGCACCCTCGCCCAGGGTGGCCTAGCCTCTTATTTCCTCTACTCACTGCATAAATAAGGCAAGATTTTCAGAAGAACCAGTGGTCTGTTTTTAAAAATGCTGCTGTTGAAATTGAACATTACAAATTGAACCCATTTTCAGTCTGGCATTCGGAAGGCAGGAATTATATTCCCGACAGTCTCATGTCCTAAAGGACTGTATGCTAGATCATGATGAGGTGTGTTGTGCTATCTGTTAAAGTATTGTTTTAAGTTAAATGTAATCAAGGGGGATGCGTCCATTGGCAATAAAAATACAAGCTGAAGTGTAGGAAGAGAAGTTGAGAGGCTGCTCCAGGCCTGGCAGGGTGTTAGAGAAGAAGACAGGGAGAGGTACCAGTTACCAGGCAAAAGCTGAGCCATTTTTGGAACATGTGACCTAACCATGGACAGTTGTTTAGTTTGGCAGGGCCGGAGGAAGGGTGGAAGGAGTGCCAATCACGGGTTGCTTCTCCACCCTGTCAGTACAAATAGCAGCCATCCTACATTTAAATGCTGTTCCATTGCCCTTGAAGACATTGGAAACCGAAGGACAAACCAACCCAAGACTGTCACTGGATAATGTTTAATTTCCCTTTTAAATAATTAAGAAAACCCTTGCAATACAGCTGTGTTACTGACAGACATCTGCAACATCTGTGTGAACTTGTCAATTTCAGTGGCTAGTCCTCCTCCGAGAAATACAATAAGTTCCAGCTTTGATTGGTGGAGTCATCCACTTTCCAAGTGACTTTGGCCTGTGTGTCAGTCACTGATTTCCTCTGCACCATGTCGATGACTCAGTGTCAGAAATATGCACAGCTCAAAGTCTCAGTCTCCACCGATTCCTTCAGTTTCCACCGGGACCCTACTAAAGCTGTTTAATATGTAACCCAAGTGCAATTACAGAGCATAAAGTTTAACTGCCCTAATGTATGTGTCCAGTGTGTGGGCACTTCCCTTGGCTAAGGGTTCCACCTTTAAATCACTCCATGTATTTATCTGCTCATGTGACAGTGTCAATGAGCAGATACCTTAGAGAGTTATTATTTAAAACTGTTTCCAGCCACGTTGAAGGACTGACTTTAGAGAGGATTAAAGTATTTTTGGCATTGAGTGTTTTGTCCTCCCTTCAACCAATTGTTGAATCCTAGTTTTATTCCACTTTTTCTTCTGAGTTAGTTTTAACATAGACTCTTAAGCTTTGTGTGTAAGCCCTAAAATTAGTTGGTGAGTTTTAGGGGTAGGGGGAGTCACACAGGAGAGTTTTTTGGAACTGGAGTTTGAAAGGCACTTTGGGACGGAGCTTGAAGGACACTTGACCAATAAGTCTCTGGCTGTGTTTACTTTCTGTTTGCTCAGCCTCAGAGGTTAATGCAAGTGGTGATAGTGTGTGTGCATTTCGGAAGGCGCTGTGTTCATCTGTGGGCTGTGGTCTCTGGAGTGAGTCTCGGGGTTTGCCTTGGAAGCTCACTGGTGTCTGATTTGACCGGGAGCAGTCATGTTTGTCTGGGAGGACTGGTGGCCAGGAATAAGCCACAGTGCCTAATAAGACACAGAGACCAGCTGGCAGGGTGCCACGGCATTTCTTGCAAGTGGTTTTCTCATAAGCAACATGGCTTCAGGCTGAAGAGGATGGTCACCCAGTCTGCTAGGGATTACGGGTCAGAGTGGAATCTCACTCGGGACTTGGTGGAGCCGGCCCTGGAAGCCCCGGATTTTGAAATGAGTGAGTTTGTGGAGCCGTGAGTGCCTGTGGATCAAATGGGGAATGTCTGTGGCTGTGTTCGGGCTGAGAAAGAAGAACAGTATTTTGATCCTGCCAAAACTCCCTTGAGCCCTGAGAAATCCTCTCCCGGAAGAAAATATTTCAGAAGAAAACAGTTCCAGAAAGCTGTAGGTGACACTGATCCTGTGGGGCACAGCAGGGGAAGAGGAGGCAAGAAGGATGGCGGTCAGCCAGCCAGGGAGCAGCCCGCTGTGTCATCCAGAGAACTGGTGCCAGAAGACCCCGTCACAAGCCCCACGCCGGAGGCCGGTGTGCAGCCAGGGAGGACGGTGGCTGCGGACCCCAGGGAACAGAAACCTCCGCCTAGTGCTGTGGACGGTGGCTCCTGCCGAGTGACAGATTCCTCTGCCCAGAACAACGACTCAGAAGGACAAGTCAGTGCCCCGGACAAGACGATTTCAGAAGAAGAAAGCCCTCCATATTGCACAGAGAGGGAGAGACATGTAGATGATGTCAACACAAAACAGAGAGCATTCCAGAGAAAAGACCATGTTTCTACTTTCCAGAAGGCAGCCAGCTTAAGTTCCATTCTCTGTGTCCCGGAGAAATCACCCGGAAACAATGGGCTTGTGGAAAACCTTTCAAAGAGTTATAGCAGTATCCGAGAGCACCACAGGACTGAGAGAGTTCACGCTCATGAAACACACCGTCCTCAGTGTACAAAACGGAGGCACCATTCCCCCCGGGCCAGTGTGCCCTCCGTTTCCAAGGACGCACCTGGG